CACCTACCTGGACTACCTAGGCTTATATATTTTATTTTTCTCAGATGCCAATGCGAACATCTCGTCCTTAACAAGCAGATTGACAGCTCGAATGGTCCTCTCTCAGATTCTCTTAAAACTAGCTGGGACAACCCCCGGTTTTCAAGTACTTCACCAAAAAGGGGGATCCAAGCTGGTTGGATTATATAAACAAAAACTGTTGTCCATTCAACAGCGCAGGTCTATCCTTCAATCAGTGAAGCTGTGTGACTAATAATTTCAAATATTTATCATAAGCCATATTTGAGGGTCATGCAACAATCGATCCAGTGTTAGTTTTTGGTAAAGATCTCACAATCATCATTTCTCCATGAGAATCTTGCAGAATCCAAGGAAAGGGCACAGTAGACCAAGCGGACCTCGGGAATCATCCAGCGGGCCGCAGAACCACAGCACGGTACGCTTTCGCCGATGACTGAAACCTCTGAGCCACTAAGAAGACCCGTTTTGCTCACAGCAAGCGGGGTGAACTCCACCTCCGAACGTGGTAGCTGAGCCAGGTGGATTTGAGCCAGCTGAAGTTTAAGGACCGAGACCTCCTCCAGGAGCGCTCCAAGGGCAGAAACCACGGTCGTGTGGCTGAGAGAAGGATGTGAAGCATGTGAAGAGGAAGATTTGTTCAACTGCCTGAGTGGAATCTGGAGAAGTTGCTTTGGAAACGAGTAGACGAGTAGTTCTTTGGGGGGCAGTACGCCGCTACTGATTTATTGTCAATTTATTTGATAAATAACCCCAAACGAAATCAGCGTGGAGCAATTTCGAGCATTTTCTGGGCTGGACACCGGCTGTGAACTGGCCCACATGAACATTTGTGCAAAGCTCCTGTCGTCAAAAGTCTTGCAGCGACAAGTCTTGTGCTCCGTCGCAGGACGTCTTTAAGGGTCGCTTGGCTGCAAGTTGTAGCTTTTGAATTGAGTGTACACGATCTCATTGGCCACATCCAAACATGAACATTCCCCTAAGGGTCCAGGACCATCCTGAGGATGTCCTTTGACCCCCCAAGACCATCCTCAGGAGGTACCTGGACCCTATGGGTTCTGAAACCACACAAGGACCACCGTTTGAAGACTGGCCACGTAGACTGCCGTAGACTGGCCACGCCCGGTCCAACCACCGTAGACGGTCTTCCGAGTGTTTGCCCTGCTTGCGAAGCCTCGGTCAGCCCACACACGCAGCTGTTGGTGGAAGAAGTTCCAAGTATACTGTGCCGCTTTGAAGCTCCAAATGCATTACAACAATATTAGTACTATACAACTAGCACTACAACATACTATACAACTATATATCACCAATATGGTATAGGTCCCTTGGTGCCAGATGCTTCGATGTCGTGATTTCTTTCCGTTCCCCACCCCTCCAGAAGAACCTTCCCCAAACACAGCGGCTACCTCGCCCCACCTCGCCTCCGGCGACCGCCGTCGCCCGCTCGCCGTCGGGAAGGTTGGTTCCAAGAGGTGCCCTTCGACGTCGAGGCGCTCAGGGAACAGTCCGGGCCCCGAGACCGTCGCGTCGGCGGAGCTGAGCGCGTGTCGCGTTGGGGGCGGAGGGAGCTGAGCGACGGAACCGGGTCACGGTGACGTGGTGTTGAGTGACGGTGTTGGTGGTTTGGTGACCGGAAAAGGTGAGCGGATGTTCATGCTCAGGCACGGTATTTGGTATTCCAATTCATTTGAAGGCAATGGAACAGCAAATGAAAACGCCATGAAAAAGGCAGGCAGCCCTGCATTGGACGCCCTTTCAATTATAGACACTTTTGCGTTTGGGTTCTCGTGCAGCTTACGCCCTTCGATACGAGCCAGTGTGGTGCTGGATTGTATCGGTGACCGTGCGGTTCGATTGGGGCACCCCTAAGCTGTCGGTCGCATTACTTGTAGCCTCGCAGAGGGAAGCGCCAGTGTTTCAGGTGCTTTCTTTTCTGGTTCGAATTCTGTTCCCCCAACCACCGAACGCCCACAAACCCACAGCACCACTACCACTATAGACATCTATAGTTGCACACAGCTGGGGGAGTGAACCTCCCCCTGTCTGTGGCGCCCAGCCCTGCCACAAGCCGGCGCGTTTTGGGTTCGGCTCCGGCATGTGGCATAAGGCGGTGTCGTGGCTACTACCGCACCAGGTGGGCAGAGCTGAGGATGGATGAACAGATAACCTCGGTTGCCCAAGTAAGCCTAGAATTTCATCAAAGCAAAGTGGTGCAGGCTTTCATTCTTAGGTGCAACGGATTGTGGATGGTGGTTGGCTTCATGGGCTAAGCCTAAGCGGCTTAACTGTGGATTTGTTTGGAGTAGGAATGGAAGAGCGGAAGGGCATGCATCGAATCAATTGAGTGACAAAAAACAGGTGGATTCCTGCGAAGTAGATGACTCGGAAGACCTGACACAGAAGTTGCAGTTTTTCGCCGCAGTTGAGGGGGTAGCTACCCCAATCTTGCCCGCAAATATCAGGTCGTCCCGGTCGTCCCTGCCAAAAAAGGTCATGTCTCAGGCCCAAGGAGTCTTCCTCCATCTCAATCGCAGGTACGACTACCGGAAGAATTTGATGGATTCCGACTACCAGACCTTCATCAAGGAACCCCTCATCTCCATCAGCTGCTTTGAAGACGAAGCCAAACCCAGACACTCCAAAGTATGACGTAGTATATGCCGCCCCATTGACCCCAGGTCAACCACCCCAATGTGGGCAAAGATGAGTATACATTATATACAATATAACAATATAATGAAACTAATTAACCCTACACCTCCAAGTACCTTGCAGAAGGTATGACTGGACCCACCTGGCACCCACCCCAAGCCCCTTCTCAGGTTCGGTACTTGGAGGCCTAGGGTAAATCAACACATCCCCAATTGATCGGCAGTCCTATGTCAGTCCCATGGAGTGTCCGGGAGTGGGGCGTGTCGCTTCGCCAGGAAGTGGCTGGGATCATCCATTGGTTTCACTACAAGCAGCCGGGCACCCGGGTGCTGGGGTGTGCAGGGGTAGCAGTACGGTATGATCATGAGATTACCAGCAGTGGTTGACTTTCCCAAGGGGGCAACGGTTCGATCCTGGGATCTATATACAAATATATACCGTCGTAATTATCTCACTGAGGCGCGCATGAAATTATGATGCTTTCAGTTGGTACATGGTCTTCGGAGGAACCAGTGGAAGTGTCTACACAGCACCATGTGAATGATCCATGTGTTAGTCACCATCATCCGCTCAGCGAAGCTACCAGAAAACCCCGTCCACTTTCAACCAGCATTCGTTGGGACGCCGGCCACCGAACACCGACCTCGTGCATCCCGGTCACCCCCCCCCTATACCCTCGGACACCGGACACCGTCACCCCACTCCGAACCTCCACGCGTGTTCCACGCGGAACACGCGTGTTCCACGCGGTGCGCGCGGAGGTTTGGACACACGGGCGTGGCCTTCGAGACGCGCTTGGCCAGCTACAGCTCGCCCAACCGCACGCTGGCGTCCGGGTTCACGCGGACAGCGGGGGGAGCGGAGCGGGTGATGCGGAGAGATGGTGAGAGGATGTGAGAGGCGAGCCGGCAGCGGTGCCTGCGGGCAGCGTTGCCGGGGCAATGGTGATGAGGACCTTCCAACTACCAACAAGTTCTGCTCGTTTTGGTTTTATGGTCGTTTTGTTTGTTTTTCGTTATGTTGTGGATTTTTGTGGTCGTTTGCTTGTTTGTTGCTTTAATGTTTTTTTTGCATGCGTTTTGCGCTAATTTGCGGTCGTTTGGTCGGTTGTGCTAATTTGCGGCCGTTTGCGCGGAAAACCCGGTGAATCACCAAACCTACCACAATTTTTTTTGGTCGTTGGGGACGATGCAGGAGGAGGACATTTAAAGAATTGTGGAATAGTATGTCGATATTGAAAAAGCTAGGATATATGATATCTTTCAGGAATTGAACAAGGAACCAGGACCTTCCCAGTGACCTTTTTGAGATCCCAGAATGAGGTCACTTAGGCCTTGAAAAGGTCACTTACCAATCCTGAAGAGGTCACTGGGAAGGTCCTGGAATATGTTAATTCGATGTTTTGAAACTGCTGAAGATCATAGATCATCCTCTGGAAAAGCCTGCTTGAAGCGGGTGGTTTTGGGACATCCAGTATCATCCAAATGCTCAGGACTTAAGGAGGACGATGGGAGACCTCCCATGGCAACGACCCCTGGGTTCGTGAGTATACAAACGCCTTATTTGGATTTTAGATGATCCTACCCTACCTACAGGCACCAAGCCCACGTGCTCACCTTCGGAGTGTTGACCTTTGGCTGCTCAGCTTGGTCAAGCAGCCAAGCATTGCTGTGCCTTGTTCATATGGCTCAGGGGGTGGGGCGTGATCCGCCCCCAGTGCGTTCAGCTTTTTCAGCCTGACAGCAGTGCATGCCTTGGCATTGTCATGAAAACAGGGTGATTTTTTTTGGTACCATTGATGCATCTCTCTCTGTCCTGGAGAGGGGCTGGTAAGATTTTTCGCCAGGCTGCTACTTACTTGGTCTGGTCAAAAGTTGGAAACATCTCTTGCAGTCGGAACCAGACATTCACACAGATCACCGCAAACAAGAGAGGCATACATGATTTGTTTCCTAATATATATAGTATCTGTCCAGCAATGTAGCATCCCAAAACTCGCAACTTTGAATTTGACATTCCAATAATGGCCGGTCATCATTCTTTGTGCCCATGAAACCTGAGCGCCCAAGAAAAGAAGATGAGCTGGACTGAAGAGATTTGAGACTGGAAGTGGTTGATCCTCTTTCAAAACCCGCTCATGGCGGCCGAAGATACTGTCGTCATGCCTTCGTTTCCTTCCCATGGCATTTGTTTCAGTAAAAAATCATGTTTCCATGAAAAGAGATCAAGCGGGGTATATAATCCTCCAGCTTTCCAACGTCGCTCACCTCCCCATTTCCCGGCTCTCTATCCCCTAACCACTCCATAAGCCAAAGCATTTCGCCACACCTCTTGGCCACCGCTCTGCTCACCGGTGCCACGACTCCACCGCACTGCCATGGCCCTGGCGTCGGCGTCCTTGGCCCGGCTCTCGACGCGACACCACGTGGCACCGCTCCTCCGGCGCCACCTCTCCGCGTTCCGCGTCACGCGTGCGCTGCACGCGCCGCGGGACGCGTACAGCGTCATGGGCCTCGACCGCTCGGCGACCCCGCAGGAGGTGAAGGAGCGCTTTCGGATGCTCGCGAAGCGCCTGAGACGATGCGAAGAGACGAAGCAAGCTGGTGAAGAGCACCCATAAAGGAGAGATGAGTTGAAAAGATATGAAAAGAGTATGTAAACGTAGACATATTTAGTGGATTTGGTCATCCAAATGTGCGGAATGGGTCCAAATGTGCGGAAGGACTCCAATATCCGACCAGAATTCAGAATGAAACAATGTGTTTCTGACTACAGAGGCTCAAGTAGCCAATTTCAACGATCCAGAAGGATCAACCCATTCGGGGTGGGCAAAGTTACATATATCATATAATATCATTGGGTTTGTCCTATTACATGTAACAGTCAGTAAACAGTTCTTTTTTTTTACAAGGCCTTTGCTTACCATCATCATCTAATAGAATAGACCAATATATTGTTATATTATATCTACTGTTTGACAAGAAAGCATGCACACTATGAGTTCTCGACGAGTTCAAGAGGCCAACAGTCCTACTCACCTACTCCAGACACTCCTCGCCAAGACACTAAGGCAGTACCATCCGGATCTGAACACGGATGCTGAGCTGCTGAAGCAATGTACTTTTTCATTTTTGTGGCTCTTCCCCGCCAAAAGTTTAATCGCCATCCAAATCCACTAAAGAAGCATTAAACAAGCAATCAATTGCAAAACACGAGAGGCAATCCAGCTGGAGGTTGTGGGAACAACACCTGCTTCACCAAGCAGCGCATGTGTTTCCTTTCCTTCTCTTCAACTTCGTTTGCGACTCCAAGCGTCCAAAACCGTCCCAATCCGGACCGAACTGGGCGCCACATTCATACGCGGTCCACGGAACGGGCCACGGTCCTCCAAGGAAGATCGCAGCGCGTCGCTGAAGATGGCGGAGCTCACCAGCGCCTACGACACGCTCATGGATCCCAAGCGCCGCGCGGCGCTGGACCAGGCCACGGCGGGCAGCTATGCAGGCGCTGGGCCCAACAGTTACACTGGAGGGTTTCCGTTCAACCAAAACGAGACTTGGAAGAGGTATAGGGGATGAAGGGGGTGTTGTTGAAAGATTGAGGGCTTAAAAAGGGCGGGGCAAAGGATGGTAGATTCTTGCTGCTTCTGTTCAACACCAAACCGCTTAAGGCAAACTCACGAGAAGGTTGTTTCCTTTAATTTGAAAGACCATTTCAACGAAGCAACGGTTTTCCGGAGATTCAGAGTAGCTAAGCCTTACATCTTGCCGACCTGTCTTTCCTTTCCACCCTTCTGTCGAAACGCACCGGCTCCTACTGAAGCGTGTCACCGCCATCAAATTGGGGCGACGACCTGTCTTTTTCTTTTTGGAACAAGTGCCTCACCAAGGACGAGTGGGTCTCCCCTTCGCAGATGTACTCTGAGTACGCAGACCTCTTCGGCCGCAGCAGCCAGTTCCGCACCACTGGGGAAGCCTCAGCGGCCACGCGAGGGGAGGTGACTTGGCGGTTGGGCACAGTTGGTGGGTGATTTGGCCTATGTTGCTTATTATATATGATGGTTTAGTTTTATATGATTTGATCTAATTATGAATGAATCTTATATGCCGCATTCTATGGCGGTTTCTTCTTCTTTGAGGTCACCAGCCCCACCTGGAGGATCAACAAGGAGACCCCAGTTGGAACTTGTTCTGGTAGGTTCTAGACCCTCAAGTATATATATAGATAGAAAAGTAGATCCCCCACTCAAAAATATTGGACTCTGTGCCACTATCTTTTTAGGGACCATATAATATACCTAGCACTTCCACCGGGTGCCCAATGGAGACCTGTAAGTAGGGTAAGGTAGTCTATTGGACACCCATTGGATGACCCTGGTAGGTTCTACTACTTGTTTTCTTTAAGTTTCCAACTTTGAACTTGGAGCAACTGGAAGGATATCAGCACCAACATCGAAGTGGCGTTTCTGGAAGCGGCGTCACCTGGATGCAGCTGTTTTTTTCTCGGTGAGGTCAGTGGAACCAATGTGATGTGCTGTACGGTTGAATGACAGCACCTTTGAAATGGTGGATCAAAAATGGTCATCCAGAACCCTGGTAGATTGACCTCCGTCCTTAGTAGTCTCTTCTGTTCATTTTCCGTGGACCGCCAGGAAAACAAGGGACGAGTCCACTGCGGGCCAGGTTTGTTTAGAGCTGAGTCTGCTGCCTGGATCCTGTCATCTAGCAGGCAGATGTGCCACTAGAACTAACAAAATCCGGGTGTCTATGTGGCGCAACTAGCTACCAGACAACATAGAACAACCATAGAACATGCGGTCATTTGCGATAGACCAGGATTTGTGGGTCTTTGTTTTTCCGGTTTCACTTCAACAACGTCATAGATTCATCATGTCTGATTCGGGCGGCTTGGTCAAGATCGTTACTTTTCGCCCACTATTCACCAAAAAGATCGAGGTCCCGCTCTCGCTTCTCTTGGTCCCGCGCCGCCGCTCGTTCGGCTCGTTCGCAGCGTCGCTCTGAGGCAAGGCTGTGAGAAGGTGATCTCGCTGCGCTTGAAGCAGGTCTGCCCCGATTGTCGGGGCTCAGGCGCACGAGAAGGTACCACCTGGTCCAGATGTCGGGCGTCTTGGCGCGATCAGTGATCACACCGTGGTGTCGAACGCCACGTTGGGAGGAAGGGACTTGGGATGACCTGGGTCTCTTTTGTTTGGTTTCCTACGCAACGGAACCGTTTCCATCTTCCATATTATGTATACTGTACATCACCCTGGCATGCGGAACATCTTTTGCTTTCATTTGTTTTCCCACGTCTTCTTTATATGGGTCAATCCCCTTCTGGGGAACATGTCTGTTTTTTTACCCCACTGGTTCCTGAAGCAGATCTGTGGTCCAAGGTTTGCAAAGGCAGCGGCGTTCATCGACAGGAGAAGGGGATCCTAAGCCGCTTGGTGGGAGAAGCCTGCTGTGCCATGATCAGATAGCTTGGACACCATGCAGCTTTGAGCAGCTGTAGGTTGGCAACCCACACGGCTTGGCTAGTGTAAAAAAAATCAACGGTACGCCTTCAAGAAGCATCAACCATCAGCAAACATATCAGCGATGCACCTTCAAGAGACTGTAGGTTCGGAAGCAAAAAAGCATACCCAATTGGATAGTGTAAATGATGCAGCTTTGAGTAGCTGTAGGCTCACAACCTACAGGGCTTGGCTATTGTAAAGATCTGGTACGCCTTCAAGAAGCATCAACTATCAGCCAAAGATACCAGTGATGCACCTTCAAGAGACTGTAGGTTCGAAAGCTAAAAAACATACCCAATTCGATAATGTAATGTAAATGATGCAGGTTTGAGTAGTGGTAGGTTGCAACCAACAGTACATAACAGTACGTCCTCGAGACTTCAAATGATGCAGCCTTGAGTGCCTATAAGTTGTCAATCCACAGGGTTTGACTATTGTGAATGCGTGAATGGTAAAAGATAGCGGAGGTTCGGAAGCTCAAACGCATACCCACTTTTATTGTGTTAATGATGCAGCTTTAAGCAGGTGTAGGCTGGCAATCTAAAGGCCGTAGGTTGGTAACCTACTATAGAAACATCAACAGTACGTCTTCAAGTAGCATCAACTATGAGCAATACATCAGTGACGTACCTTCAAAGCCTTCAGGAGAGTGTAGGTTCGGAAGCTAACAAGCTGCACCACCTGGAACATGTGGCTTGGCCACTGCCAAACAATTACTGTAAGTATCTCTTTTGAGCAGCATCAACAGAAGGATACCTTCAGACCAAACTCTTGGCGAAGCAGCTCAAAACACGAACATCGAACACACCTTCAGCAAAGCTGGCCCCAAGACTTCAAGAGTTTTGGACTTGACACCAAACTGAGGAAGCTTTTGGATACCCGAAGCCTTAGATGGGAGCAAGTCGCATTTTTTTTATGAACTTTGTGCGACCATGTATTATCATGTATTTCACTATTTTGGAAGGTTGGTATTTTCAGGATTTTCAAGGGAGTGGATCTCCAAGATCTTCAGTTTCGTGTTGTATATAGACTGGTATAGACCCCCTGTCTTAGATAGAAGTTCGTAGATCCCCACTCAAACCATGGTTTTTCGTCTTTCCCGTGCCATACCGTGCCACGGACTCGTGACGAGTCTGAGGTATGGGCGTTCCATGTCAAAGATGTCGTGGCAGCGGAATGGTGCTGGACCATCCTTGCCGTGGCTGCCGTGCCGGGGCGATTCGACGTGTCGGAGACACTGTCGGAGTGAACTGCCGTCGGGATCGACTGTAGACGGTTCATTCACCCAGCTGGCCTCCAAGTCGTAACGAACCGTTTCGAAGGGGTTTGACTGGGGTGGGTGCCAGGGTCCAGTCATACCGAACCTGAGGAGGTACGGCTGGAGGTGTTGGGTAATAAAGCTCTCTTCTACCAGGACCATCCCCAACAGTCGCACGTGTATATTCAAGTGCGACTCCATTTATTCCTTAAGCTCAACTTCCTGGAATAGACTTGTTGAATCTTTTCAATATCAACACAACCAGCTTCAGTAGGTTTCGTGTCTTAGTCTTTTCTGAGATGTTTTTCTAAGTTGGAGGCTACAGTTCTTCAATTCTTCAAGCCCCACCGTGCTTCCATGGTTTCGCCGCTTCGCCACACAGTTCTTCAAGCACCACCGTTCTTCCACAGTCTCCCAGGTGGTGAAAGCACCAAGATGATGCCGCGGGAGATCCGCGTGTCGATCCCCCCGGGCGTGCGCAATCTGATGGAGCTCCGGATTCCGGGCGCCGGCCACGCGGGCAGCCGTGGAGGAAAGGCGGGGCATTTGTTCGTACAGGTGACTGGGCACAGCTGCGCAAGTAGCTGCAAGTAGCTGCGTCCACTCCGAACACATCACGAAGATTCACGAAGACATCACCTGTCCGTACAGGAGCCATTAGCCTTCAAAAGACAACATGTTCGTCCACTTCCACGTGATGTGTTCGTCCATCGTGTACGTTGTTTTGGGGCGATGTTGTTGCGGTTTGGGTGGGATGGGACTCTTCAGTGGGTGATGGACCTCTGACGTCCACAGACCTCCCGAGACGTCGGAGACGTGTTGTTTCGTTCCTCCGGGACCTCGCCGTCGTAGGGTTTGACGGGTGTTTGACGGGTGTTTGACGCACCTGTCTTCGGGTCCCGGTGCATCTCGTTGATTGATGTTGATTGTAGTGTTGGTGGGTCCGTTGTTGAATGCGTTTGATTCTATTCCATGGAAAATGGATAAAAAAATGGTAGACAAATCCTTACATCATGGCAGGTGGGGACCCAGTTGGGACGTTTTGTTGGGACCAAATGCGAGGTGAACAGCTCTAAGGTCAGAGGTTGGCTGCCAGGCTGCCATGACACCGACACCTCTTGGATGGGTCAATTCCAAGGGTGTGTAGACTAGTCCTGTCGACCAGCTCGTCGAGCAACTCGGACCTTTTGGACCCAACGGATCCTGTGTTTGCTGGCGCAACAGATGCCTTTCAAGAGAGTGCCATTCAACTATAGAAAAAGATAGAAACCGTCGATCCCCACGTAGGAGATGTATTGGACACCGTGCCACTTGTTCTCTTTGGGGATCACTATATCACCCTAGGGATCAACTGCCACCTGGGCCCGACGTTTTAGCGACATCAAGAGTCAATCACCTTCTGACAAGGTACGACTGGATCCCTACTGTAGGGGAAACATGTCCTCAACTGATACGTTTAAAGAGAGTACAGCATTGCTCTTAACGTCCCTTCACTGATATACGTTGGGAGTGTTCTATTACCTCTAACAGTCAAACAATAGTTGCAAGCAATTATAGCTATTTTTGAACAAGGCCTGCCACTGAAGCATAAAATCCACTGTTACTGGTAATCATTCGGATAGACCATATTGAGATCCTAAGGTGAAGGTCCTCCCCCATGAGCGCTTCCGCCTCGTGGACGACGACGTACACCTGGACGTTCCCCTGACGCTGCGGCAAGCCTTGTTGGGCACCGAAGTGATGATCCCCACGCTAGAGGGACGACGCTCGGATGGTTCTTTCCGTGGGCCCACCTTGTTTGGAAAAGGCACAGGATCTGGTCCTTCATTTGACAGAAGGGGGGAGGGGGGATGGATGCCCTTGTTTGGAACATGAACTGTGAGGATTTGGGGGGTTCATATCTCTGGCTTTGAATGGGCACCCAGACAGTCTTCGTCTTCCAGATCCGATCCAGGACTGAATGTCCGCTGAAAAGCCCCGTATTCACTCCACAAGGGAGTGAAATCGTGTGGTCTTCCTTTGAACATCTGCAGAAATTCCATTGGGATTCTACCCGGACCCTCCTGTCGGGGTGTCCTGGCTGGACTACCGACCCCACACTACTTATAGGCTTCCATTCAGGGCACCCCTTCAAGGGTCCTGGTAGATTTGGTGGGCTTCCTGGAAACTGTTCTTCTTTTTTTGGGTAAAGAAAACCGGGATTTCAGAGAGATCATCCATAGCTTTCGATGGAGAGGGCCTATCATGGCTTTAGTGCTTGCAATACCCCGTCCAGAGTTTTAGTAGTGGATTGCAGATTACATTTGTGTTCTAGTGCTGGTCACACCTCACATTGATGTGAATCTGAAGGTCTCAGCACCTCTCGGCCAAGCATATGTTGATGTTTGGCGCTGTGGAATCTGCGTGGTAGTTCAAGTTGTGGAGATGAAGAATCGCGAGTGTTCGAAGAGGTACAGATTTTTTGCGAGCAAGGACATTGATGACGTGGATGTTCTTGCCTGACTGAAAGTGGATGTCCTTCCATATCTGTTGCAAAGCCAACGTTCTTGGCATCTTCAAGTCATTCCACCGGTGCGAATGTCCACCATGGGCCTGTGATTGACATGGTTTGTACATCTTCATCGCGCATCGATGCAGCACAGACCCCTTTCTACCCACTCTTCGATGCCCACACTTCGTAGATCTGTATAGTAATAGTGGACTAGGTGCCCTCGAATTCGGGTGGTTTACAGCTTGCTTCAGCAGGTATATATGAGCACAAGCAAATGAACACCTATTGACCTATTGTGTCTTGATTCTTTCTGTCTATTTTTTGTTTTCGTTTTTCGCTTTCTTCAAAAGGTTTCATGCAAGATCGCGTGTGTTCATGCTGATCCGTGGGTCTCCACTTTGCTTTCTAGACCATGAAAGGTCGTCTCAGATGGAAAGTAGAGGAGGCACCGGGTCTTGGGCCACTGCTTTTTGTATCACCCCTTAGTTGAGCCAGCATCACAAGCTGGATCATGTCTGGAAGACTAATGTTCTTCCATCCCACAATATCGAATATGCCTAACATGCAATTCACTACTAGTACACTTCAAAGTTGCCAGACGGAACCTCTTTCCTCAAGGAAAAGACATTTGCAGACATGTGCACGCCAAAGGCGCTACACCATTTCGTTCAGATTCACTCCAAATCTCCGTTTGACGGGACGGTGTACTGTACTCTCATGACCTTGTTTGCTTCGGCTGCATGTTTGTTTTACTTTTTGGGTGAGTCCGGGCCTCCCACCCAGTCCCACCCAAAAGCGGCCTCACCGAGCCCGCGGAGCGGACGCTCCGTACAGCTCGCGGACGCTGCGTCCCGCGCCCGAGGTGAAGAGCGGCTGAAGGTCCAGGCACCTGCGCAGCCGGGCACCACGAAGGTCCTACGTGGCAAGGGCGTCCCGCGCTGCGACGCCGGCGGCCGCGGGCGGCTCGGCGAAGGAACCGAAGACCGGTGTACTGTTTCGGGTTGGGCGTTCATCGCTGGGAGTTCGCAGGTGTTTTTTGTTGATCGTTTTTGTTGGTGTCGCATGCTTCAGCACTAACTCACCGCACCCTTTCCCAGCAATGTTTATAAGAGAAATGGATGAGACTCTGCTTGGTCTTTGAGATTTCGCGTGTTTTTCGCCACTCTTCCGCTGGGTCTCAACAAGGTGGTCGAGGACAGTAGCACTGTTGAAGGTGCCAGCCGCCTGCAGAGTTGAATTCGGAGGCATTCGGATGCATTGTGTCCAGCACCTTTAAACAATTCACCAATGGAGGCCCCAATACTACTGAGGGATCTCCATAAGACACCCCTTGAAGGTCCAGGTTTGTTTATGCCACTTGAATGTTCCTTTCATCAACAGTTGGTTTCGCCATTCCACCAACCCCATAAGCCAAAGTGGAAAATGAGAAGGGGCTGGCAACGTCAAGGAGTTCTGCGGGTTTGTACGTATCGGTTGCTATGTTGTTCCTCGTCAGATCTCAATATAAGAACGTTGTTTTTCTACTACACTTGGAACTCGGAACTAACATGGAAGTGGATGGCATGGCCCTTGGAAAACTATGTTATTGGGGCTTGCCATCCACGATGTTAGTTCCAGGGAGAGTAGCCAAGTAGCCCCTCCCCACCCACCTGGCTTTTCCAAAGGCACCTAGCAGCTTCGCATGTCCTGCTGGCCAATGCGACATCTCAGGAATATGGTCCTCCATTTTCTGCTGCAGTTGCCGCGCAGCCTGAGTCCCCGACAGGTGGAATTGATTGAAGAGTTTGATGGCTTGATGGCGGCCAAAGTGTGAAAAGGACCGATCAGCGGACCTCTCGTGAGAACCACCATGTTCAAACATCTCTGTTCAAGGCATCCACACCAGAGATGAACCGCGGTATCCCCAGAAAAAAAACGATGACAACTACAGCAAAAACTCATGAACATGGAGATGACCGGAGATGACCCCTCCCAAAAAAACTCAAGCCGCCCACGCCCATGCACCGGCCACCGTCCCTTTTCGTCCAGCCTGTGGCCACGGCCGGGTCGGCGTGACGAGGCGACGGCCGGACACTGAGGTCCTATACCGAGGCGGTGGATCGCACGAAAGGCAGCAGCGTGCAGGCGCCGTGGCCGCCGCGGGCGCCGCGTGGCACGACGAGAGAGTCGGGTATGCGGTGTGCGTCCGGCCGCGGGGTTCTCGGTGCACGTTTGGTTGGTTTGAAATGCAAACGAGAGAGGCGCAATGAGGATGGTTTGAGAGAAGAACCAGGAAGAGTCCAAAGAGAAGCAGGGAGATGATGACGGAAATCCTAAGTACTGCATGCACATGTCGACTAGTTTGGTTCCTGCAGTTTTTCCGAAGGAAGCACAGCTCGACAAGGAGAATGCATGGCTCGTTTATGTATAGTTCTTCTATGTTTACCAAACATGATGTAGGAGCCCAGTTGGTTCGATAGAAAAAGACCAGTAAAATGACATAAACAGACCATATCCATTCATACTCATTGTTGATGGTTGATGTTTCCAAAAAGACCGAGGTCACACCAACCAGGCGACCGGTCCAATCGTCACAGGCCACCGGTCTCGGCGTCTCGGTCAGGTTCGTGGCTACTGGGGTGATATCATCAACAGCCGGGATCCTATGGACTGAACCCTTTTTGACTATACCAGGGCCCCCTGTTTGGGGTGGTGAATGATAGCTCCTTAGAGGTGCTTCGCGATGTCCATGAAGCACCCCAAAATTTTTTGGGGGCCCTGGTATGGACTGAACCTTTTTGGACTATACCCAGACACGACACATGGGACTGCCATAGGACTGCCGCCCCATTGAACCCCCAGTCAACCACCCCAAATTGATCGACAGTCCTATGGCAGTGGAGTGTTTGGGATAGACTTCTGACCTGCTCCGAGTGTGCGCAGATTACAGAGACTGAAGATCTCGGATCAGAGCTGTCGACAGTTGCGCGCGGTGAACCGCGCGTGCGTGTTTTTCGCGTTTGCGCGTTTGCACGCGCAAACGCGCAAACACCGCGCGCGTGGTCTTCGGGGTGGAGCGTCTAAAGCGGCCAAAAAGCGTTTCCCTACCCAAGAGTTCAGTGGATCACGTGCAGGTCGCCTTTGGGTGGGGCGGTGCAACCGCAGCAAACAAGCACACACGGGCGGTGTGTAGAGGGCACGACTGCAGTCCGGTTTGACACGGCGTTGGAGTGAACTCGGGTGAAAAGGGGAAGACTCGGGCGGAGAAATCTTCTAGAGATGGACGGACTGGAAAAAAACAATACCATCTTGAGAAGCGCATCATCTCCTGGTGATTTGCCACGATTTGGGGCCCTTGGGGATGTGTTTGTTTTTTGGATGTGTCGAAGAGTTTGGATGAAATTTAGAAATTTGTCCAGCATTGCCTTGGCGGCACGCTTTGCGTGAAGCATCGAAAGAAGAATCGTGTGATTGCGCTTGGCCAAAAAGGCCAAGGGAGACGCCAACTAGCTTTGCCCAACAGATCATTTGTTACACCCTTCTTCCGCTGGCTGCGCTCCCATCTCGGTATTGGAGCCTTATCCATTAATGAGTATGGTATGGGCGTATATGTGCTTTGAAATCCGCCAAGCGAGTTTGATAATCTACGGAGGGTGTGTCCCTTTACCAGTAACAGTTGATAAAAGATCATACAGTATACAATTCTTGAGAAAGGCCTTTACCAACCATCATCACCCACTGCTACAGGGAATTTGAGAATATCATAATATATCTAAAATCTACATCAATTCAGGCGTATATATGAGTAGGCAGCACTTGCTGAGGAGCCATGTTCACGGCCATCTCTTCCGCAAATCTGTGCCAGCGCACACCACCAGGTAGTCGAAAAGATGGAAAACATGTTGAAAACTCTTGGTCCACTTAGGTCCACTTCTGAAGTGGTCTTTTTGGAGAAACGAGGTCGTCCACCGTACCAGATCTTCGCACCGCCTCGTCTCCCCTCTCCCTCACCGGTCCACGCCAAACAACGCCGGTCCCAGTCTCGCCGGGACCGTCGCGACGGGTGCCCGTCGGGACGCCATGAGGCCCGTACCATGCCTTTTGTACGCGTACCGATCCAGAGGCCCCCGCCCACGCCGACGCCAGTCCGCTCGCTCGGGTCCAGCGGGGGAGAACGGAGAACGGTAGGGTGGGCGTGCGCCCGTGCCGTTGGAGGAGGGCGGGGAGTTGAGGGTGGATCTGTTTTGCAAGCAAACAACAAGCATTTTGGGGCGTTGGAGATCGGCAGGAACCACCTGAGGAAGCCGACTGGAAGTGTTCCGTTGTGAGAGAGAGAGAGAGAGGAAGAGGGAGCGGAGAGAGAGGCGATCAGAGGCAGACGAGAACCTTGAAAGGTTTCTTTTCACAAGTCATGATGACCCCTGACAAACATCTTACTTTTGTTGCAGGGTTGAGGAGACAGGAGACCAAAGAATGTCAAACATGGTCAAATCTGAGAAGACCAAGCCAAGCGGTGCTCCACCACTTACGGATCTATCCAAAATGCTCTTGAGCTGTGCCCGGGTCAATCCCTGACATCACCGGGAAGCTGTGTCTTTTTGGGCTATGGAGTCATGAAGCTGTGCTCAGGATGTCTCTTTTCGGGGGTGGTTGAGGTGGGTGTCCATTTTTAAACAAAAATGTGTGCCAGCAGCGGGATGATTCTTCCACTTCAGAAGGGTCGAATTCTCTGTTCGCTAGTACCTGAAGTGGGATCGTCACCCGCAGTCGCAGCTGGTGCAGCACCATGCAGGTGAATAAACAAGCACCCAAACGCGACCCTAGGCCCTCATATTAATGGAGGGGTCGGACCCTTATGTGGAGGGGTCTGTGGGCTTCAAATCCCGAGGTTTTGAACGACCAAGGGCTGTTTGGAGCGTCTGGGCAGGGAAACTGACAGCTGGATGCTGAATCTTCGATGCTTGTGATCACTGAGATGAGATCGACCAGCCATGCACAGCCACTCCACCCTCCCAGCCAAATTGCATCCCTGTATAAAACATCCAGGGGTCAAACACTGCATGGGAATGGCATTTCTACCGATCAGTTGGGCTGGTATGGGGGGTCCATGTAGGCTATTGTAGACTCGACTGTCTATGATTGGCTGTTATTTGCAGCAATTCTTGGCTTTCTCAGTTCCAATTGCTCCTGTTCTGGGCTTCCGAAACCTCTGCCCACCGCGGCACCCCACCGTGACCAACGGACGCTTCCGGACGCTTCCGCGGTCCGCGCGGCCGCGGTCTGCAGGTCCGACATCGCCTTTTCAAGATCAACTCACAGCAGTGACCGGTTGGAGTGGTGCAGGGGGTGAACAGGGGGGCGACCCACCCAGGTGGTAGGGTCTGAGCACTGCAAGCTGTGTGATCCCGCAGCCATCAGTCTGGTGAAGAGATCTGCATGAATCTTTTCAGGGTTCCTGTTAAGCAAATCCAGTTTTGAAGGACCTGGCGTCGCCAGGAATGAAGCACGTTGAAAGAACACACCTCTGAACTTCACAGGTTGCATCAGCCGTGGGGAAAATGAGATTGTATCAGCCAACACACCATTCAATATACACTGGATATTGCACTGGTTTATACGTAATAGGACATCTTGGGGTTTGTGCCATCTACTCTGAAACCACTGTACACTCCCTGAAATAATCATGGAAGTGCAGTTCACCACCTGTTTGGTCTTCAGAAAATTGTTCTCCTTTTCGGGCAATTTTTTCCACTTATCCCTGACTATATTCCAGTCACCCACCCTCCAATTCTCAGCCATGTGGCATGGAGTGCAACCTGCTCTCCCCACTCCTGTACCAGTGGGGTCTTCCCTGAAACCACTTCCCCCAAACCAGCGACTGCCTCGTCCTCCACGTCCTCCCCTTTTCGTCCCGAGGTACCGGCACACGGAGACGGACATCGCCGAGTACAACTTGACGGCGTGCGCCGGTCACAGCTGCGGCGGCCGTTGAAGTGGCTGTGAGGCCGTGGCTTCGTGGTGTTTGCAGCTTGGGGCTGCAGCTTGGACAAGCCTTCAGCCTAGGACTCCGCACATATACACACATATAATATAGTATATGAATTTAATTTGAATTTATGTCAGTTTGAATTTTGACAACCAAGAATCTTGCCACGCACTCTTTACTGTCATTGGCTGGTGCAGAAAGTGGATCCTCTTTTTTCCACCTTTTGGAATCGGAAACGCAGCATCCATTTGTGTCTTCGTCAGCACTGAAGGCTGTGAAGGCTGTGACGATCGGATACCGTGGCTGATTGGGGCTCAAGGAGAGTAGTGGGACGAGTTCCGGGAAACTGCCGAAGGTGGAAGAAGGCGCGTTGCGCGCGTTGCTGTGGAAGAGGAGGTGGTGTCTCAATGGCCTTCATTGAACAGTTCTTGTTCTTGTCATTCAAGTTGACTGCGCACCACAAGCACTTTTTAGGATCCGTTGCTCTCATTCAGAACCTTTGGATCCGAGTGGGTCCTCTTCATTTGGACGAAGCCCGGTGGGTCCTCTTTTCAGCGGCGGTGGGTCCTTTTCCACCACGAAAAGCGGCCCACCTTTCGCTCAACCGAGCTCGTGTGGAAGATTCGCCAGGTCAAGTGGTGGAGACAATGCGCTGGACTTAGAGACAGGAGAAGGGTCAGTGTTTGGTCCATATTCTCTTCAGCAGAGGCCAACCGGCACGGCAACCGTTTAGGTTGCCCTACCAATCAGTTTCACAGAGGTGAATATCAAGTACTGTGTCCATTGCAAATATAGCATTTTTGTTGGGTGCGATGAAAGAGTGCATTGTAAGACCAACGAGAAGATCGTCTTATTTTGGTGGATCAAATGTCAAATACATAGTGTATCCTGTGACGTGTGTCCTTTTCGTGGCAGTGGATGAGTTTGTCACCATCAAAAGCCTTGGCTTTGCAACGCCAAAGACACCACTTTAGTCTGAGCACCAGCCTCTTTGGAACCGTCTGGGCATGTTTACAGAACTGGTACTCGACAGGTTTTGCAGCATACCACACTGTTTGTCCAACAGTAGCACCGATCGGTCTCTAAAGGGTTTTGGGTTTAGGCTTTATTCGACAATGACTATGACACCAACAATCCGCGATCAATCATCCTCAGCCAGCACCCTCCAACAGGTCTCTGAAATGGAGGGTTGGGAATGGCCCTAACAGGTTCCAATTGGTGACCTCTAGAGTCGGGTGCTGGAGCGCACATTCATTCTGTGGGGATCCTGCAACAGATGGTTCGACATCACGAGAACGACAAGCAACTGCAACGATCAGTCAGTGGGACTGATGCGGAGCTGGTTGTCCGGTCCGAATAACAGCTTGTCCGTTTTGATCATAAGAAAAGGCCTGGTGAATGGATGAGTGGAGGGAGGGAGGAAGCGAGGGAGGGAGGGAGGGAGGGGGAGAGAGAGAGAGATCGTTTGAGATTTGAACTTGGTTTATTCAAGGGCATTGGCATACAGAATGTTCAAAACTCTTATCTCATTCTTTATAGTTCAAAAGTTCAAAACCAATTACGGAACCTGAAAATGTCATGGATCCACCCTTATATCCATTCCCCCTCCTTTCCTTCGCAGCAACCTGACCTGGTATATCTTCTTCATCCGCCACTGCTCAGGGAGGCATTTCTGCTGGCGAAGGCAGACATCCCGGATGATTCCCCCCCCGCATGCTCGGCGGCGCAGCAGCGTTCTAGCTTTGCGCAAGAGCTCCGAACGCAACCATGGGATTTTCCGATTGATCAGGTGTACAAAATGTCAATTCGATTTCCGTGAAAGGTTTGTGATCTAGGTATAATCATAAGGCCGTGCACGGTGTGCAAATTCTTTGGCACATGATGGCAGATGTTTCCAGTCCCCAACTGGACGGACGTGCTAATGGACGGACGTATGGAGAGTCCACTATACAATGATTCCCGTTTTTGTTGCGTAGAGATCTTAGACCGTTTGAGCTCAATCAACATCTGTGTTTTGCAAGTTCCTGGCTCTACTTTGATGCTCAGATCACTTGGAAGAACACCAAGATTGTCAAGTTGATGCACCATTGTCAATCATATCACTTAACATCTTAAGGTAATTACATATCATGTGGCGTACCTCCCCCAGCTTCTTCAGTTTCTGACTCTGAGTTGAGGAGTCGGAGCCAATCCCAGACACGACCGGTGGGACTGTCCAATGAATCGATATCATGATATATCCACATACCTTGCCTGGTTGAAACGGTCTTTTTCTATGTCGGCCTTTTCCCTGGTTACGTGGAAGTCCAAGACCATTGCAACCGGACCTGTGCCGTAGTGTAAAATCCCAAGATGGTGGTGGTTCGGTAAAAATTAATCATGCGGTATTTATTAGGTATACACTCCCACTCACATTCCATGGTTACGTGGATGGCATGGTCTTTTCCTCCGGAAGACGACTAGCCCTTCCTCTAAATACAGGCGGTGAACTCCACTTCCGAGACGTGCGGCTGGTCCGAACCGCTCCGCCAGGCCTCTCACCCGGTGTCGATCTCCGCTCCGGTCACGGTGCCGGGAGATCGCGTGAGCTTGAAAGGCGGGGAGGGTGGTGGAGATCGCGTGGAGGGAGAGCCTGGCTGGCCCGAAGTTAGAAGAAGATGAAGCCCTTCCAGGATGAGGTCACGAATCGGTCTGTACAAGGTCACTTAGAGACTCCAAAGAGGTCACGTACTGAAGGTCCTGGCATATAACATGCCCATGTGTAATTTGGTGTTTTTTCGGCCACGAACAGAGTTTTCGGCCAGTGCAAGAGGAAAAGAGGTACTGAACATATAAGCCTGTTTAAGTCCAATCATTTATTAGCTGACTTGATTACACTTAAAGAGGCCAGGCCATATAAATGGGCAAACTACAGGGCTTGGCCAAGACATCAGCGATATGCCTTCCAAGATGCCTCACCCAGCAAAAACAACAACGATGTACCTTCAAGAGGGTGTAGCTTCAGAAGCCACAGCCGATAGCCACCTTGACAGTGCAAATGTTGGATTACTAAAGGGCCTCAGCCATCCTCAAGACGAGGGTGTAAGTCCTGTAGGTCAGTGGGTAGTTAATCAATGTTAATGCAGGTTTTTCTGAAATCCCTCGATGTACAACCAGCTGAAGAGGTCAGCGTCCATCCACCCGAAGCTGGACGCCGCTGGTTCCCGCGTCGGGGAGCCGAGCGGTGAGCGGTGAATCTACAGAATTCAGTTGCCAGATGTTGCAAGACCTGCGGACAACCGAATACAACCGATGTCTTTCATAAAGAATCGACCGAGGTGACAGTGACTGGAGCCTGTCTTGGGAAGATCTGGGTGGCGAAAGAACAGTGTCTTTGGGGTGAGCAAACCTGACTGAATGAAGCTGATCCTTTGATTCTGGTGATCCAAGACTTCTCAAAAACAAGCTTTCAAGCTTCCTGACTTGAGCATGAGTTCGTTGGCAGAAAAGGTACGAACTGGTTCGTTTGGGAGCCTTTTTTTTGAGGCGACTTGATACCCCAGAGTTTGGGAGGGTTAGCCCCCTCTCTTTTGGATTGGAACCCTGATTTCAACGCCACCAAAGCTGCTTAGACTAGTCGCATCCAAATTCATGGAAACAGTTTTCCAGGACATTTTTGAGACGGGATCCAGTTATATATACAATATGTTGTGATATGTTGTGTAACACAATGTTGTAGTACAGTGTTCAATATAGTTTGATATATAGTTGTAGTTTGATCTATTTGGTGATCACTCTTACTAGACCGCAACATATCTCCACTCCGAAGCTGCTCCTCCACAGAGTCACCCAAGGCTGGGTGGCGTCGCGTTGATCGCGGGCAGCCGGCCCATTCGAGCAGCGCGAGCGCCCCAGGCGGGTCGTTTCCAACGCCAGAGGTTCGATCCCAGACACACTATATACCAGGACCTTCCGGAACTCGAGGTGTCTGTAAATAGCCTCCTAGAGAAGCAACTTAGAAGCAACATCGACTCATTGAAGCCCACCGGGACCTCGGAAGGAAGTCGCACAACCGGGACCATCGGGACCTCGATTGGCTCACCAATGGGTCTCTGAGATACGGCTCAGCTGGAGAAGGGCGGTTTGGGGTTCCAACCCCTTTCAGGACCGACCGACAGAGTCTTCGGTGCATCCTTCAAGACACCCCGGCAACTCTCATCACCTCTCAGAGGCGATTGACACGGAAGTCCAGCACACGGAAGGTCCTGGCAGCCCGGAACTCCACCTGGAGTCTCAAAGTACTTCGGAAAATGGGTAGGACGTCGTACCTGCTTTTGTAGTAGGGTCATGTCCCATTTTCGGTACTTGAAGTCGGGTCCAGGTAGATTCGGATCATTTCGGATCCACAATCCATGGGCAGTTGTCCCATTGATTGCCCAGACAATCGGACTGGAATCTGTGCTGTCCCATGGATGGGTGGTTTTGAGGGTCAATTTGCCGGCGAATGTTCCAGTCCCATGGATTGTTGGGGAATGTCGGGGATGTGTATGCCCATCTCATCTTGTCGACCCTTCCGCAGTGGGCATGCGTTTTGCAGCGAAAGCCCGGGCGCGGCCAATATGGCGGCAGGTGCAGAGACTGATGGCACAGCGTCCGGTGGGCAGACTCAGTGGTCATGGGGGGCGACGTTACTCGAAAATTGTCGATGTCAGTCTGTCAGTTCAAACATGTTCAAACAGATTGTTTTTTGTCATGAAGTTGAACAGTATACTGTATTTATATCTGTTTTGGGTTATCGGATTGGGTGCCCAATGTAGACGTCCGGACTGGCCCTTTTCATCTCCTGTTGGATCGGGTTGTTTGTTACACTCCATGGGACTGGAATATATGCCGCCCCATTGACCCCCCTTTCACCACCCCTGGCTTTTTCTCGGCAGTCCGTTTGGCAGTCCCATGGAGCGTCTGGGGTATAGGTAGGGCGTCTTGTTTTTTGCTGAAGATCGAGCTGAATACTGGAGGTGCCAGAAATCACTGCATGCGCGCCTGTCGCGCGCACTTGTCCTCGAACAGTTGTCCCATGCATGGGTTCAGCCCAGCCCACGCCCGTGTCTTGGTCTCCGCGTCTACTGGCGCCGCGCTGGTCGTGCCACGTCTCAACACCACGTCGTCGCAACGGTGCCGTTCGGCACGTCGCTTGGACCTCGGGTCTGATCGATGCGACCGGCTTCGGTCGGTCCGGTCTTCGATCTCAGCAGCGGCTCTGAGATCTTTGATCCGCTGAACCTCCTGACGGACAATGAAGGCCGGTCGGCCATCACGGTCGGCCGTCACGGTGGGCGACGGAAGGGAGGGAGGACATAGGGAGGGAGGTGGCGACGAAGGGAGGAAGTGGTGGCAATGGATGAAGTGGATTGGGGGCACTAGGATGAGTTGGCACTGGGCATTGGGACCTTTGCTGTACGGGTTGGGTGTTTTTCTTGGACTGCGATGTCATATGCCTACAGGTCTTGAGCAACTCTGCGCGCTTGGTGAGGTCACAGACGATCACGAAACCGGCGAGTCCGCATGACCGGCGAGTCCCCGCGGCCGAGTGTCTTGGGCAGTTCGGGGGGTCCTAACACCATCCAAAAGAGAGCCACCCAACAAGCATGATAGTCGGGCTAGTCCACACCCCCAAACTCATATCATTGTTGTTTAATGGGCGGCACTCCTGGTAAAAACGAGAAACCTGGGGCATCCTGGAATCCTTCATAATCCTTCTCGAACAGCGATGAACATTGGTGGACAACCCATGTCCTGGGTTGAAATTGGGCCCCAAAGTCAGTCATGGAAGAAACGCGGTCGAAGTTATACTGGAATAGATGCCTGAGAATAGAGGAATATAGATACTGGGAATAGTCGACTTCCAGTCTCTACATCACCACATTACCAGTTGCCTCTACTACATCCGCGTCTGGTTCGGCACAGCCACGCCCTCCGTGCTACGGCGTCGTGCCACGCACACCGCGCGGTCGAGTCAGGTGCCATGAAGCGTGCCACGTCCTTGGAACTGGTCTTCGGCCGAGCCGCAGCTCGGCGGACGGCGGGCGAAACGGCGTGGGGGGGGAGGGGCGAAAGGCAGGCACCGTTTTCTCCCAGACAACCAGGGAATCGGATGATTTTGAGGTCAGTCTTAGTCTTTATAGCGTTATTGCCATTGTCCAATAGTATTGTATAGTACTTTTATCATCAAAACCTTCGCAGAAAAGTGATTTTGAGGATGTCACATGAAAAACACATCGAAATGTATGTTTCCCCTCTGAAATCAGTACCGGTCGGTTCATCCATTCTGCTCTTAAAAAAACGCGACAGAGGAGGACAGTTCGTTCTTTTCTTGTGATATATTTCGTGACAGTTCGGAGCCATGACGCCAGGAGCCTCGGATCCAAAAGTGCTGACTCAGTCAGTCCATTCTGAGTCATTTTCGGAGCTTGCGGGTTTTAGCACAAGCACAGGGATGATAGTTTTGCCAGAGGGAGGGAGCTGAGATGTTGCAGCTCAATCACCACAACAGTGACAGTGAATTTGGTTTTGCTTAGGGTGATTGTATGTGATTGTTGTTTTTTGTATGGGTGAATGAATCGACTTCAGGGGAATATTACCCAGACACTGTACAGAATATTTACCGTATACATTGACTCCTGAAACCACCCCAATGTATGTAAATATGACAGTCCCATGGAGTGTTCTTTTTGTATGTGGATCCATAGGGAAGATGATGGAAGATGTGTTTTTGTATGTTGAGCAGTCCCCATGAGTGACCCGAGTCGAGTGTATGTTCCAAATTACTCATCGAGCTGGACGCGACTTTATGGGGGGCACCAGGTGAGCTGGAGAGGATCAAACATGATCAAACAGAAGGAACTGTGCATTTAGATCATGTCTGATCTAAACAGTTCCTTAATGCACAGTTCCTTAATGCACTGTTCCATGTGCATTTAGATCTTAATTGTTAAACTATCGGCAGATGTTTATTTTTTTTGAGCTGGTGCCATGGGTGCCATGCGAGGTTTTGCTTTTTTGCGTCTCTTCTTTGGTTTGGCCTCACCTCCCCGCCAAGTCGGATCCAGACGTCGACCTCAGCGCCCACCCCCAGGCGATGCTGGCAGCGGTCGGAGTGCCGTCGGTCGGGGCGCCCGGTGTCCCGCTGAGGGGAGACTGCAGACCGGCCCTGCTTGGTAGCAAGACGCGACCGGAGGCTGGTCCCTCATATGAGCAACCACGAGCAACCACTTTACCTCCTAATTAAGTAGTCTAAACGAGATAGGGACCCCACATATCTCCACATAATAGATAGTGTATTTAGTACCAAATCAATGCCGCCGCACATATGGAGGGCTCGGACCCGTGTCAAATCCGGTTTTGAGGGACCTGTCGGGGTGAACGGAGCTCCACTAGGGAGACCGACCACCGTGGCAATCACCCAGGCTCGGTGAAGGAAAATAGACCAGTCTACCCAGCCAGGGGTTATTAGATTTCGGGTGTCTCCTGGATTTCGAAGACGCACCCATCTCTTCCTTCAAGAAGAGAACTGTTCGCAGTTTGCGAAGTCATGAAGGGAAATGGAAGCCCTGAGCAAATTCCAGGCCAAAGTGTCAAGCACCACTCCTAGGTCACTCAAGCGACTTACAGTATAGTTGCTCAACAGAAAGCACCTAGGGTGGAGCCGAATCACCAGACTTAATTAGGTGAATACCTTTCGGATACATTATGGCATGTGGAGTTGCTTTTTCTCCCGAAGCAGGGGGCTATATATAGTTTGCGAGTGGCGCGCCCGCGCTGGTCACGATCGGAAGTCTGGGCTGCTCCACCTTGAAGTTGGGCTCAGCGGTAAAGAAACACTCAGAGTGCATCTGTCGGATCTGTGTAGATTGCATTGCTCATTGCTCGCGCGAGGTTTACGCCGGGAGATGAACGCGAAGTAAGGGTTAGTTCTTGTATGTTCTCAGTTCTAGCCATAGTAGGTCTTCAACATCGACGCGACGATAGTAAACCATGGTTTACGAGGGATCGTCGCGTGGAGGTTGAAGATAGCTTTTGAGACACCCTCCAAAAAGCTGTTTATGACTTAATTGATTTGCCCTATAAGGATCATTGGACCCCCAAAACCTTCACCTTTGAGGGTCCTTGATCCTTAGGGTATGTTCTTTCTTTCTTTTTGATGGGATGGAAGTCCATCCACCTGAGAGTCCGGACGTCGAGTCCACGGACGAGAACCCCGCGGCGCGGGCCTCAGGCGGAGCTCTGGCACGATGAGATCGCGGCCACACGGCGGCGAATGCGACCGGACATGGGCGAGTCAAGTCATTGGACGTATATAGGCATGATGATGGAGGAAGATGGAACAATTTGGATCCAATTAACCCATATTAAAACAAAGTGCAGCATAGATTTTAGTTTGGGTTGATATTCTATCGACTTATGGTATATAGCTGCTACAACTGAATCAACTGGTCTAACAAAAACAGAGCGCCCAAAGGTTTGCTGGTAAACATGGTCTTTCAAAGGAGATCGTCACTGGTTGCCAGCAACAGCTGATGAGTAAGATCAAAAAGACTCCCACATGGCGACAGATAATACCAGAACTGAGCAAAAACACCAGAACACCAGAACTGAGCAAAAAACACCAAAAGACTCCCTGAACTGAGAACTACCAGAACTGCCAGAACTGAGAACCCATGAGAACCCCAGAACTGAAATGGACCCAATGTCCGGATTCATTGAGGGGTGACAGACAGCAGAAGACCCAAAACACCAAACAATCCCTACCAGCACCCGACTCTACAGGTCTCCTCTGGTGAATCTTGCAGACTTCAAAGTCGCAGGTGGTGACCTGTTGGAGGGTCCTGGTACCTAGCACTTCCAATGGGTGCCCTGAGTAGGAGACCTGTTTACATAGGGTAAGGTAGTCTATTGGACACCCAGACAGGATGACCCTGGTAGACAGGTCAGTTGGACCTCATTGTACTGACGTTGGCTCATAGAAAACACACTCTTGTCTTGAAGGTCGTCCACCAGGTGATACAGTCCATCAGACTGGACCTGTGTTCGGACGAAACAGTTCACGAAAGGACCGGTGCGACACCTTTGACATCTGCGCAGAAGTCTGGTGATATCACCGAAGTACATCTCCTGTGCCTGGACCCTCCAAAGTGCCATAGAAAATGGGACATGACCCCATAAAAACAGGTACGACGTCCTACCCATTTTCCGAGGTACGAACGGGTCGACTCCAGGTGGACTGATCTACAGTATTAACGGTGTTCTTGAGCTCCACCTCACTGAAGCGCAGTGGGTGCATGTTCTGGGCACACCTTCGGAATGAACTGCTGATGATCGATCTATCTTCAAACATCCACACCTGCCCCATACAATCCCATACGATCACGCGCGCTCACGTCCACGGGAAACGCAGACGAGCGTGTTGCTCGGCCGCAGGTCGAAGCAACTAGACACATCCCCAAAAGCATGCATTCAAAAATCGCAGACCGGGATACGCCAGGATTCGATTTCACGTCCTGCGCCTTTGGCGAAGGCTCGTGCTATCATGATCCGACAGTCGTCGGTGTGGTAGGGTGTAGCCCCAGTCACGCACCCCTGAGGCAGTACTCTACCACACGACCGTGGCTTTGTAGAATTAAATTCGCCAGCAAAAGCTTGGACATTATCAAGCTTGGAGAGATGCAGCATTGCAGCACGGATGATTTTGTACACATCATAGAAAGTAACAAGTTGCGAGTCACCAACAATCTTGAAGCCGGAGCAATGAAACACGACGGCGAGCTCACAAAAGCTAAAACTTTCAGAGTGATCCAAGCGCCAATGCAAGCCAGCTAGAAACTTGCAAACTTCTTTCCAGTCATCAACGTGCGTCTTCCATTGCTGTGGCGGTGGGCACACAGATGGAATCTTGGCTTTCCAAGGATAGTGACGTTTTGGTAGGCCCCATGGCCACTGGCTAAATCTATTCCGGCAATCCTCCTTGCTGAACTGATCGGGCGGTGCAAGATCGACATGGTCTTGCGTATTGCACATCTCATGTGTAGGAAGCAAATGATGTAGCCTGATCAACCATTCATGGTGCCTTTGAATGGCACGTTCTGCAGCTGCTTGAGCATCAAGGCACACAGGTGAAAGTTTCTTGGCCAACATATTCGCGGTTCTGTCGCACAACCTATTGTTCAGGATGTGCTCAACTGTCGAGCCAGCAGCACGGGCAAGGTCTTCAGTCAAAAGACTGTCAGGTACCCTCTCAAGTCGGTGAGCTGGAATCCAAGACACCTGAAACGGCTGCGGACAAAGCTGCTGACGCTGGCCAAGAACCTTCGCAAAAGTGCGCCACCATTCTGCACACTTCCAGTTGGGATCAACGGGGCCTCCTTGACAAAGCAAGTTAACATTCTTTGCAACAGAGGAACAATCGGTAAAGATATGGACACACGTAGATGCAGTAATGCAAACCCACAAAACTGCCCACAGTTCAGCGGTGTAGGCAGACAAAGCCCAATGAGAAATCAAACCTTGCTTGGTCACATTCCTTGCCTCGTCAACGACTGCAAATGTGGCAGTCATAAGCCAAAACTTGTTCCCATTCACCATGGAGCCATCAGTCCAGAAGCGGCAACATCTGCCGGGGTCGAACTCAGCAGCAAGGGGAATGTCACAAGCATGAGCAAATTGCAGCCGTCGTCGTGCAATGAAGGGAGGGTGTTCAACATGTCCAAGCAATTGGAAGTTTCTTCCAAGTTCATCATTAGTTGGAGGCCCAATTGTTGCATGTAGGGCAGTGCACTCATGTACAAGGTGGAACATGGACTCTTTCTCCTGCTGACAGAAGCGGCATGCGGAGGACTCTGACCACCCTGAGCTTGCAAGCCGATCATTAGTCAGCGTGCAGCCAACCACAATGGATTCAAGGCGAAAATGGGCTGGAACCTCACCACTGTATGGTCCGGCAGGCAGCTTTCTGAGAAGAGCAGTCGTCTGCTGATGGTCAAAAATGCCCTGGGTGCGTTGAAAGTCTTTCCGTTTGGAATCCCCAGTGGCTTTGTAGCAAGCATCTCTTGCAATATTCGCCAGGACTCGAGAGACATCCTTAGCACTCAAAGACACAATGGGTACAGCCTGTGAATTACGAAAAGAAATATCAAGCTGTTCGGTAATGTGTAGGCCTAAAACATCAACAGCATTCTGCATTTGCTGTGCAAGTGAATGCGTGCCATGCGGATTGGCCCATGTTTTCTGCAGCATGGGCACTGTGTGAGGAAGCATGTGACACATGCGGACAACTTCAAGTACTGTGTTGAACGCACAAGCAATTTTGGGGTCAGTGCGATGGGGGGTTGACAAGACAGCTTGCAATAAGTGCTTAGCCCTCCATTTCGGTCTCCCAACCCACAATGCTCGTGCAATCGCATTTTGAACTGAGTTGAGGGCTTTCAGAGGAATCTTGGAAATGTGCGATCCAAACGCAAGTTGGGGTACAACTTTTGCTCCGATGAGAAAAACACGAGTGTTATGCGGCACCGGAAGAGCAGCGATATTATCAATATCTTCCAAAACCTTTTTCAGTCGGGAATCTTCAAAGCAAAAGGAGTTGCGCTCAGAGACATACATTTTAGTCCCAAGAACCTCAATCTCGAGGTGGACGGGATATTCAGGAAAAGAGGCTCTTGTTTCACGGCGACCATGTGCGGTAGTGGCCCACATCGAGGACTTAGCTGCATTCAGCTTCTGCCCCACCAGCTTGTCCCAGACAGCTGTGACCTCAAGAGCACGGTTCAACAAATGGCTGTGTTCAAGTTTGGCCCATAAATAGGCGTCGTCAATGAATGCTCTCACATAAACCTCGGGGATATACTCAAGGAGGTGACACCAGACCTTGTTGTAGGCATTCATAGCCAGAAGTGACAATGAACAACCCTGTGCAACACCGTTGGCTGGATGGGTAGCGACTGGAGAGATCCATCGTCGAAAGGACAGGTGCCTATGAAGCCCTTGGTAAATCTTTAGAAAGACATTGACGAAGGCTTGTGGGAGACCAAACGCGAGGAACAGGACCCCGGCAAAGGCAGGTACTATCCTATCAAAGGCCTTCGCTTTATCCAACTTGATGCCGACAAGCGGCACTTTGTCAAGCTTCGCACAATCAATATGCAGGCGAAGATCATTGTAAAGGGTCGACATGGTTCGGCCGCGAATGCCACCTAAAATGTGAGACGGCATGATCTGCTGTTGCCACTGCTGGAGTTGTGCGTATCTAGATCCTGTGTAAGCCAGCAGGAGGGCTGGCAGGACCGTGATGAGTCGTTTATTCATCGGAGTGGCAGGCCCGGGTTTATTTAGAATCACTTGCTTGGCGCAGGTTAGAGCATTGGGAAGTGGGAGATCACTGGCTTCCATCAAGTTGAAAAACTTTGCAACCGGCTCCAGATCACAGGGGTCAAAGTGTTTCAGCTCTTGGGTACGCCAACCATCTAGACCCGGGGCTGCAACGTGCTTCCTTTTCTGAATAACCCTGTGCAAATCCCTGGAAGAGATAGGGGGAAGCTCAATAGGTTGGTGCTGTTCTTTAATGAAAGGCCAGACCACTTCCAACATTTTCAAGGGGTGCTCAGCAAGGACATTAGCTGAGTACACCTCATCCCAAGCAGAGTTCAAGAAACTGAGGGCTTGTTCGGGCTGATAAATTACATTTCCATCATCATCGACAACCAAGTTGGCGGGCTCATCTTGTTGCTTGTTCTTTAGATGTTGGAAAATGTAGGAACAGTTCGAGTGAACGGAATCATGAATCCGCCGCTTCCATTGTTTGATGCGCTGGAGCCGGATTTCTGCATCGGTGAGAGACAATGCTGATTCAGCCCACCGTTGTGCAATAAAAACTTCAGTGAGAGATGGATGACAAGGATTGTCCCACCCCACGGGTGCTCCTAAATCAACAAGGCTCCAATATGTTTTAAAGGCGAGCCTACGTGTGATGTGGCCATCCTCACATGTCGAAGAGATTCTGGAGAGGCGTGTGTACAATTCCCTCAGTCGACCAGTTAGGCGAGCAAAACGACTGCTCTTAGCGGTGGCTGCACATCTGGAGAGGAGTTGTTTTGGGGCCAACTTTTTCTTAACAAAGACCGGTGGGGCAGCACGCTGCTTGGGGCCTTCACACCAAACAGCACCTTTGGCTTCAAGCGTGTCCGTCAAGTATTGATTAATGATGGACCACTTGGCGTCAGAAGTGGGAGCTAAATCGAAAGGGCCCTGAAA